TTTTCATAATTGGTTGATTTTTAATAGTATCCAGTCTGTAGGTGGAAAGGTGCCCCAAGGATAATTTTTATGTATTAAAAAGGTGCCAGTTGGGGTAATATAAATCATTGTCTCAGAGGTCAAAATTAAATATGAGTAAATGCACATCTTTTTTTTTTTTTTTAAACAAAACACTTTATCATGGTTTGGGTGAAAACTGACAGAGCAAATTAGTTTTCCATTTAACAATCCACCCATATTTTGTTTCATGACATTGGCTGCAGTCCCTTCAGTGTAACAGCACTCTTCCGACTTCACTGGGTTCTCTGTTTCCATCCATCCTCCCTTCCTGCCCCTTCCTGCATTCTGAACTTTGTTTTGGGTAACTGCTGCCCTTATAGTCTCAGGTGCTTTATCTCATAGATGTTGTTTGTCTACTTTATAGGCCTGTCTATTGCTTAGCTGAAGGTGGATTCAGTTGCAGGCTTGAAGGGTGTCTAAGGGTCGTCATCTCTGGGTTCCACCAGTCTCTATCAGATCAGTAACTCTAGTCCTATGATTTTGAATTTTGTTCTACATTTTTCTCCCACTCTGTCCAGCTTATATTGTGATCCCAATCAAAGCCATCTGTCTGATAGCTGGGCACCATCTAGTCTTAGGCTAGTGGAGTTGTGGTTCACGTGGTCCGTTGGTTCTTTGGACTAATTGTTTCCTCAAGTATTTGATTTTCCTCACTCTTCTTTGGTCTGGATAGGGATAAACCAACAGCTACATTTTACATGGCTGCTTGCAAGCTTCTAAGACCACAGTTGCTACTTACCAAGGCAGGATATAGAACTTTGTCTTTGTGGATTACATTATGACAGTTGACCTACGTGTTCCCAGAGACTATGGTCCTAAACCCGCAAACCCAGTGCCTTAGTCCCTCAAGGTTTTTGGTTATGGCTAAGAAGTTTTCATAACTTTGCCCCCTATACAAAATAAAATAAAATAAAATAAACTCACTGCCGTTGAGTGAGACCCAACTCATAGCGACCCCTCCTTGGGTTTCTGAGGTGATATCACTACAGAAATAGATTGCCCAACCTTCCTTCCAAGGAATGGCTGGTGGGTTTGAACCGCCAGCCTTCTGGTTAGCAGTCAAATGCCTTAGGCACTACGCTACCAGAGCTACTTTGCCCCCATATGCTCTACTATATACGTGGATTTATTTGCAGCATATAGTTTTCTGGGGTTTATGTAGAAATATCCTCTCCTAAATATACTCTTAGGTGTATTCCCATACACTATCCCACACCTGTTCAGTTTTAAATGCACATCTCTCTGACTTCTGGAATAGATTCTAGTTTTTTTGCTCTACATAACAAAAACATATTAATTCAAATGACCAATGTCTACCAGTTTTGCCCTGCAAATGTTTATGGAGTAGCTCTATTATTTCCATTTTCTTGGGTGTTTTCTTTCTTGTTAAAATCAGACACTCTCAATATCTAGTGATCCTTTGATAGTGGGACTTTTTAAATTGATTTTTAAACTGAAAGCTGAAATAATAGAAGTGCTGCAGTACCTTGTTTATCAATCACTACCTAGAAAACCTAGCGTAGAGCCTAAGGCACTTGACTGCTAACCAGAAGGCTGGTGGTTCAAACCCACCAGCCACTCCTCGGAAGGAAGATGGGGCAATCTATTTCCGTAGTGATACTGCCTCAGAAACCCAAGGAGGGCTCTTTGTGAGTTGGGTCCGACTCGATGGCACATAACAACAACCACCACCACAACAACAACCTAGAAAACCAATGATTATAGTGTCTCAGGTAAAAGATTAGTCATCATCAGTAAACAGACTGTTTGTTCTTTACCTTGATGCCCTGGGGAAGTTACTCAGTCTCATGGTTCTTCATTTCCTTACTGGGGCAAATGAAAACAATACCATCAAATAGTCTCAAATGAATGCTGAGCAACTCCAGTAATGAATGACTATGAAATAGTCTGAAGGGCACCAACATTTTGTAAATGTTAATTAGTCAGATTATTATTATTATTATAAAGTGAACCTCTCAGACAGGATCTATCAGTTATAATGGTACAAATTGATTGGTTAACTGACTACAGGTTCAGTTTTGAAAGAGCAATCTTTTCCTGAATGAGATTTTTCAATGTTATGGCTATCAAATACTTTGAAGAACATTCAGCATTGATTGTTGTAATATTTAGTGGGCCAGAAAGCATGGATATTTTTTGACCATGAAGGATAATTACCAAAAAAACTATAATTTGGACCATTGGAATATATTTAGAACAATGCCCAGTAAGTTAAGAAGCATAGCTCATATTCATAGCCTAATTGTTGGTTTTGTTGTGGCCAGATCAAATTATTATCTTTTGTCCATGTTTCTTGTGACTAAATCATGTAAAACAGAGTATGTTGTTAGTGTAATAGTTTATAAGGTTGGCGTTTATTGAACAAGAGGTATTATGAGATTGCAAAGAATTATTAACATAACCTGTTTATCTCTAGATATTTTACAAATACTAATTAACTCACAATCTTTTGCAAAATAAGTGTATATTATGACAACCATTTTGGAGGTGACTTGGCCCTAAAGCTAAGTGACAACACAGATCACAAAACACTTCTTTATTAAAGCAATACTGGAATGTATGTTGCTTAACTGCTCAAAACGTTGACCCCTGTTTACTCATAAGGGCAAGTCTCTTGAATTTTCTTAATCATACTTTTCTTCTAAAGTCATGCTTACTATAAAAATTTAGGCATGCTTTAGTCCTTTCTTGAGTGAGAGCTAGATTTAACATTCCCTGGGTCACTGTTTTCTATATACTTCTTTCCTGAGAGTGGCTATTTTATTCATGGTATGATAAAGCCATTTATTATGGGTGATGGTTACACAACATGATTAATTGCTAAGTTGTACACCTGTAAAAGGTTGAATTGGTGATGTATACTTTTACAACAATTTAAAAAAGGGAGGAAAAGAAATAGCTATTTCTCACTATTTCTTGAGAATCTACTAGGTATTAAAGCATTTTATAATGCATATATTTTAAGCATGCAACTAATTGAATTGAATTAAAATTTGCATTATGAAGTGGTAGTACCTCCATATTTCTGGATGGAGTTTTTCATTACATTATCTTATTCTAATTGTCTTATATTAACTTTCTCCCTGGTAAATTTAGTGTTTCATTTGAAACATGC